CTCTGCATCTTGGCCGTTGATGGGACAAACCTGGTGCTGGCGGCAGCTGGTGGGTGTGATGCCTACCTACTGGAAGATGGGGTGGAGAAGACCCAGTCTCAATCCGAGCAGACTTGGAGACCCGCATGCCTGGGTTCCTCTGCCAGTTCTTTCATGCATGATGCCCATCAGGACATGTGGAGAGTGGTCCCAGCATTGCTGTGGCTGGCTCCGGAGCTAGTCAGCTGCTGAGGCTCTGCTGGGGGGTGGGGGGGAAGGGAAACTAAACCCGCCGCCCTCCAAGGGGCCCTGGTGAGGACAGCCAGGCGCGGGGGCAGAAGCCCCTCAAAAAGTAAAATTTAATAACTAATCAATGAAGAGTCTGATGGTCTCTTAATATCCTTTCCATGGTTATATCAAATAGTGAAGAAAAAAATTAAGGAATAGGACATGTTTTACAACTGCAAATTAACTGTATAATGTATAAAGATTAAGATGTTAAAAAATTTATTTTCCCTCTAATATATTTTCATATCTTTAATAATTCCCTGTTATTTATTTTCTTAAAAGCCATGTAGTGGGAATACTTAAGTGAAGAATAAAGTTATAAAGAGTTTGTTTTTTTCATTTTCATATTCTAATATAGTGATTGATTCTAGTATTTTTCACGAAGACATGTGCCACAGTTAATAAGGAATTAAAGTTAATTAAAATGTAATAAGATATTGTGGAATTGCTTTTTTAAACTATCAATAGCATAGACATTCATATATTGAAATTTTGAGATTGAGATGGGAACAAAGCACATATTATTTAAGTGTATTTTTAATTATTTTGCAAATCGTAGAAAAACCTCTTTCTATATTATTACTTGAATGTTTTTTAGAACTGTAATTTAAATGTTCAATTGACAAAATAATGGGTGTAATAATTTAAATGCATGTTTTTTCCCCTTATCCAAGTAGAGGAACATCAATCCACTCATACATTATTAATCTTCACTGAAAATAAGGGAAGCAGTGGAGAATTTTTTGTTCAGTGATATTTATGCTGGACTGATAATTGAACACTGATCACAGAACAACTGTGTGCATCAAATACTATCATTGGAATTAGGGGGTGTTTCTATCCAAGTATATCTTATATGAGCAGGTGTCCTCCATAATATTTTAAATGCAGCACACGTAGAAAGTGTCACAAAAGGTGGGATATTACCAAGGTTGGCCATTCATATTTAGCTGTGCATTTATTTAGGCAAGAATTATTTTTGACCCATATGTCTCATATCCAATACAGTCCTGCAAAGCTTACAGTTATGCAGGGGAGACATTGTGGGTTGTCTTCTTGCAATTAATACTTTGTTTAAAAGTTTGACTCAACTATGTAAGCCAATGGAAAGTCATGACAATAGGCACAAGTATAGATTGCTCCTTCACACCAGTCAAGCTCGGCAGGACGTTCATTTATTATGCCTCTATTACAAATATAATATCTTAGGAAAGTTATATATCATCATAACAATAGTAGCAAAGCTATGTATTAAAGTTAAACTACTTAGGCATAGAGTTTGCATATTTTTAGCATTCCTCTATTCCATACAACATTAATATTATTTAGAAAATAATTGCTTAGTAATTTTTCTTTAGCTTTCTAATAATATCACATTTTCATAACTTCTCATTCATGATCATTTAAATTACTGTATGAATTATATGTAATAAGATGCAATGTATTTTGTATCTACTTGTCTAACAATGAATGTATAATCAAAATTATGTTCTTTAGGAATTAATGAGATGTAGAGAACATAGTATTTTTCCTATTTCTGATTTGGAATGGATCACACTCCAAATGTAAGCAATCTATTTAAAAGACTGTTGTTTATAACCAAAATATAATGGAATAAATTATAGTTATTTACAATACAAATTGGGCTGGAGCGATAGCACGGTGGGTAGGGCATTTGCCTTGCATGCAGACAACCCGGGTTCAGTTCCTTCGTCCCTCTCAGAGAGTCTGGCAAGCTACTAGGAGTATTTAGACTGCACGGAAAGCCTGGCAAGCTACCCTTGATGTATTCCATATGCCAAAAAAACAGTAACAACAAGTCTCACAATGGAGGCATTTGAACAACAAGAGTACAGCGCTACAGTTTGCTACCATACAAATTGCATATACTCTTCCATTTGGCTTTAGGAAACTGATAGTAAAAAGAACAAGAGTTATTAAAAATGTTAAGTACAATTTTATAATGTAGATTACAAACAGCTTAACACAGCATAATTAACATTAACTTCCAAGATGAAATCTATACAAAATCATGTGTGAGGTTCACTGCTTATAAAAATGCTAGTATAATTTAAGCCACTTATTCTTTCTTTCATTTCTTTAGTTTTTTAGTGGTGGGGGGCACACCAAGTGGTTTTCAGGATTTATTCCTGGTTCTGCATTCGGGAATAATTCCTGGCAGGCTTGGAGGACAAAAGAGGATGTAGGGATCAAACTAAGGTTGGCTGTCTATAAGGCAAGCACCCTTCCTACTATATAGTCTCACCAGCCCCTCTCTTATTTTTCCAGTGGGGTCCCAGTCAGCTCACACAGTATTGAGAGGATGGTCCTTGCTGTGCTTGAGGGAACTATGAAGTCCAGGGGATCGAATCCAGGTGTTTGCTCATGCAAAGCATGTACTCTAGCTCACTGGTATATATGTTGGCATTATTATTTAATTTAAATCAATTTTCAAACCCTTTCCAGGTTTTAGTGTGGAGAAATTTCTTTTTTCTGTTTGTTTGTTTGTTTGTTTATTTGGGGGCCAAACCCAGTGGAGCTCAGGGCTTACTCCTGACTGTCAGCCCAGGGTTCCTTCCTGCTAATGCTTGAAGGGCCGTAATGTGTGTCTGAGATAAAAATGGGTTAGCTGGGGTTGGAGCAATAGCACACCGAGTAGGGCATTTGTCTTCACACCGTTGACCCGGATTCGATTCCCAGCATTCCATATAGTCCTCGGAGTACCTCCAGGAGTAATTGCTGACTAAATGAGCCAGGAGTAACCCCTGTGCACCGCTGGGTGTGACCCAAAAATAAAAAAATTAAAAAAAACAGATTAGCCATTTGTAAGTTAAGCGTGCTGGCTGCTATAGTATCCCTCCAGCCTGCAGTGCCAAAATTTCTAAAAGTAATAAAAACATTAAACATTGATGTTTAAGAACCGGAAAATATATAGACTGAAAATATGTAAATATTCTAAGTATAAATATAATATAGACATATTTGTTTTTATAAATGGCATCCATCCATATGTGTGATTACTTTGCAGCTATTTTACAAGCATATTAAAACTTAAAAGTAGATAATATTTAGATATAAGTGTCTTTAGCTTCTGCTCTTTAGAACCCTTACTTATGAACTCAAAGACCTTGCAGACTCTTTCACGAAAATTTGAATTATATCTGTACACTTATTCTGCTAAAATTTTAGCTTTGTCCAGTCTCTTTAAATAATGATTCCTACAGTGCCTCATCCCTCTGCCTTATGGAAAGCTCTTCTAACAAGCACATAAAAATAAACACCTACAGGGAGGAATATTGAGATAAATAATCCATCCGAAATTGCATGTGTTAATATCAAAACCGGAGAGAATCAAGGTATCATCAAGTAATGGTTCGTGCATGTATTTTACTTTAAAAAGCAAATATTCTTAAAAATATTTTTTTCAGAAAACATAAATTTATTATTTGAAGTGCCAAAAAGTGACTGAGAATGTTATGGCTAGAAAGGTTTCTAAAAGGCTCTACACTATCCCACTCCATTTTACATGAGTCTGGTGATTCACAACTTGTCATTTGTGTAACTCAGCATTTTCCAAGGAAGGAGAATCACATACTCATTTGAACACTGTCTACTTTGTCTCATTTATTTGATTCATCTTCCCTCCCTTCTGGCTGACACAGGTTCAGTAGTGAGACCAGGTGGTAGAGCCAACAAATTTCGAATAGAAGGTAAAGTGTTGGCAAAATAAAAAAGCCTTAAGCCGTAAATGTCATACCAGCATTTTCACTGTCCTCATTACTTCGCTGGAGTCAATTAAATTAAAAAATGTATATCTTGTTGTGTGTGTTACTAATATCTGTGGTCATCTATTTTATCATTAGGTAGAATGGCAGCTTTCAGTAAGAAATATTCTACTGTTTCATATTTTTTTATGTTGTGAGAAGTAGTTTAATAGAATTTCTTTTGTCTAAAATTTTGTGTTAAAGTTCTCACATACCAATGATTAGAAGATGCATCAGAAGAATCGTTAGAATCATTAGAAGTTAGAGATTTGATCTCTGTTTCTTCAAGATCATTTCCTCCATTTTAGTAACCAACAAACCCAGTATGCTATTTGTTAATGTTCAAGTAAGGGAAGTTGTTTGTTGTTTTCATATATATATGTATGTATATATATATATATATATATATATATATATATATATATCTGTCACTGTCACTGTCACTGTTACTGTCATCCTGTTGTTCATTGATTTGCTTGAGCGCGCGCCAGTCACGTCTCCATTTGTCCCTGTTGCATGCTATTGTAGCCCGATGGCATATTGGTGGCTCTTTCAAGGTCAGGGGAATGAGACCTGTTATTGTTACTGTTTTTGGCATAACAAATATGGTCTGCCGTAAGGGCGGGATACTCTTGGTAGCTTGCCAGGCCCTCAGAGAGGGACGGAGGCTTTTGGGGCTGTCTCAAAAGACATCACGATCACGATCACGACCATCTGTTGTTCGTCAATTGCCTCGAGCAGGCCCCAGTAACGTCTCCTTCATCCTAGCCCAGATATTTTTTTTTTAAAAGTGCCATATTCAAGGCTCTTTCAGGGTTAGGAGAATGAGACCTATCATTGTTACTGGTATTTGGCATATTGGGTACGCCACGGGGAGTTTGCGAGACTCTGCTGCGTGGGCAGCTTACAATCAATAGCCTGCCAGTTTGTCCAAAGTAGGACTCAGATAATAAGATGTCATAATAAGATGTGCTCTCCTCGGCAGCATATATACTAAAATTGGAACGATACAGAGAAGATTAACATGGCCCCTGCGCAAGGATGATGCAAAAGACATATATATATATATGTATATATATAGAGAGAGAGAGAAATAGATAGATATAGATATAGATATGGATATAGATATATATGGTAAGAAACTTCTTTGAGTTTTTATTAAAATAGCTGTTAGTCATGGAAATATGGAAATTACTGACCATAGCAAAATGGTACCAGGTGTGCGAGAAAATAAAATCTACATGCAGTGACCTGTCCCAGCCCAACCCATGATCCCTAGATATACTTACTGATGCACAAGATCTACCAAACAGGCTGGCATATTCATGGTCCAACTTTACTCAACAAGAATAGGTTGGATTAGGTTCTAGGAATTGAACTACCAACAAAACATTTGGTGACATTCGAGTCAGTTTTGTTTAGAGAGCCAATATGCCGGCAAGTGTGAGTATAAGTGATAAAGAAATACAGGTTATTGTTATAGAGAAACCAACCACCTTTGGAAGAGCAGTATTGCAGTCTGATCTGTGGTGCACTGTATTGCCAGTTGATTGTTGACTGTAATCTGGAAATTTCAAAGCATATTGTCCAGGTGGTTGGTATTATTGTTTGGCTTTATCAGATACTATTGGTATTGCGCATCAGTGAGTATAAAAACCTTTTTTTTTTTTCATTGAGAATGGTGAACATCAAGTTCTTAATTTAAAATTCTGGTCATCTATTTAGCTTTCCAATTTTGGAAAGTGATTTTATCATTGCCTGTATTTTCTCATCTGCAAAATGCGAATGCCATGTGTATACCCAAACTATAGATTATCATGAGATTAAAATAATCTTTGAAACTACTGGACAGGCCCTGGTCTCGGGGCTGTAAAATTCCCCTGCCCAGTCGGGGGATTATACATGAAAGGATGTCCTTGGGCACTCTGGGTGGCTCACTCTTGCCATCTGCATTCAGTTCTCTTGAGTCACTTCTCCACCTCGGACGGCTGTTGCTTTGGACAGACGATGGAAGAAACAAGGACCAAGCTGGTTGATGATTAGTTGCCATTTATTCAATCTCTCATCTCTCCCATCTCTCTCCATCCTCCTCTCTGTACATGATTTGTCTAACCACGCAATTCTTTCTTCCCGCTGTATCAGTCTCCTCTATCTCTCTCTGCTGTCTCTCTTAACTATCTCTCCTTCTGACTCTGTCTCTGCGTCTCTCCGTTTCTGGCTCTGACTCTTTCCTGAGTCTCTTTTCTGCTTCCACCGACTGGATCTGGATTCCCTTCCAATCTTACTCACCACTAATTCTCACTCTCTCTTGATTCTCCCGATCTTACAGGCTTAGTTTATATAGCAATCATGTAGGCTGGGGATATAAAGGTGGGGCTCTCGTTAGGATGGGGGAGGGAATGGCCAGCTCCACCCCCATCCTATGAGGCCCCGCATGTCTCATCACTGAAGGCCCAAACCTGACAGCCCAATGGCCTCTGGAGGATGGTGACCACTGAGCCTCCTAGGGGAGCAGTTGGAGGGACAACACCCCTTTTCCCAGTGACAGTAACCTACTACGAGGTCCGGACCCATTTCTGCCAAAAGGCACTGGGCTTCGAGACTTGTTTCTGAGTCTCTGGGATCATGGCTGTTAAGCAGCTTTATTAGGAGGCAGAGAGGCCATTCATGACTCAAGGTCTCGTTGGGGTGGGGAGGAAAGGGCTGGCTCCACCCCCTCCCGTGAGGCCCCACGTTTCTCGTCACTGAGGGTGCCTGAGTCCCACCCATGAACAGCCTCTCTGACTCCTGATCAAGCTGCTTAATGGCCATGATCCAAGAGACTCAGGAACAAATCTTGGAACCCAGCAGGTTTTGGCAGAAATCCCTCCAGATTTAAGTGTCCAAATTTCGGAATTTCAAAATTGCGTGGCCACTACTGCATCCACGTGACATCATCATATGTTATTCATAACCAGCAATAGAAAACAAATTGTCTACGGTTGCCTTTTCAGCAGATCTGAGTGTTGGGGTAAAATTCCAAATAATAATGGAAGGTCTGGTGTCGAAATATTGAATGCAATCAAAGTAGAGAGAGAGTAATGTGGAAATCATCTGCCCCACAGGTAGGGGGAGGGTGTGGGATGGGGGCATACTGGGAATTTTGGTGGTGGAGAATGGGCACTGTTGAAGGGATGGGTGTTTCATTGTATGACCGAGACTTAAACCCAAAAGCTTTGTAACTGTTCTCATGGTGATTCAATAAATAAAATTATAAAAAAAAATTTAAAAAAAAGTGAGGTGGCGTTCATGCCCAATTCAATCAGCTAATCAGTGGCTGAATAAATAGCAGTATTCCTACATTAAAAAAATGCTGGGGCTGAACATTAACAAATCAATGAAGAGAACTAAGGACAAAATTTCATCTAAGGAAATTACTTCAGATTACTTGGAGAACTGCTCAAGGGTGGGATTCCATCCAGGGTGTGTCACTTACTTCTTTCTTCAGCTAAATAGTTGTAGTAAATTTACTTCTAATATTTCTAGCAATGTCATTCTGCATGAGCACACTAAGAGGTATATCAAACTTAAAGTTGGTTCTTCCTGAGGACATCTTACAGTCTTCAGGCAAGGTTAGTCTTCTTAACCCCAGTACGGTCCTTATCCAGTTACCTCTTTTGGGTCATGACTGAACGTGCTCTCAATAATTTAAGCATTATGTATTAAGTATTATGTATTAAGCCATAATATTAAGTATTATGGCTCTTGGCCTGGTCCATTTTTATGTCAGGGTGGCTCATAGCTTGCCCTGGATCCATCCAGTCCCTGGTCAGGATCCTGCTTTTGTGGTGCTGGGAACTAAGGGCAACTGAGTCAAGAAAGCAGATGTCCAGGAGTGAATATTATTCGGACTCAATTAACTCCCAAGTTACAAAAGCGTAATAGTAACTCTTTTTCTGTGTCCATACAAAAAAGGATATCGCTTTAAGGTAAACTGTGCAAAAAACATAACTTACAATACAAGTTCAGTGTCTTTAGAAGGATCTGATCTTATAAATTAACAGAATCTGATTAGGGAAAAATGTGGTTAACTGATCGGGAAGGAGAGCACAAAGAAGAGTTTATAGATAAACTAAGGAATGGGAGTGACTCGGGAGCACTGTCCTGGGTGTAACCCGATAAACCTAAGTTCCTTGGGCTAGGCTAAAAGGATAAACCCAAGGTTATCCTACACAGGATTATGATTATTTTTATTTTCTCTCATATAGCCTGTTTAACACAACTGACCACTAGCTGAAAGAATTGCTACAGTTCTTCATGGCAAGAGAATGACTATCATTTTCCATTCCCTACAGAGGTCCATTTCAAATCATAAAACTTTGATCAAGCATATTAATTGTAACAGTTGTACTGTAGTTTCTATACCCATCCCTTATTAAATAAAACAGTATTTTATTTGTTATGTATATAACCTGATCCTTATCTTTGTGGACCATTTGGGCTCACTCTTCATTGTTCAGGAACTATACTAGGGATTGAATCCAGGATACATGGATGCAAAAAAAACCACATTCCAACCCACCCAATATTGCTTCTTTATACATCTACTAATTCACATAGGCTTTTGTGTATCGATTGCACTTACAGAACATGCTGCACTAAATGTGATATACAGATGGGCAAGGATATATATATATATAAACTTAAAAAGTCGCACTGTAGCACTCTCCTCATGTTTTTCATTGATTTGCTTGAGTGGGCACCAGTAAAGTCTCCATTGTGAGACTTGTTGTTACCGTTTTTGGCATGTCAAATACATCACAGGGGGCTTGCCAGACTTTGCCGTGTAGACCAGATACTCTCGGCAGTTTTCCCGGCTCTCCGAGGCGGGTAGAGAAATCTAACCCAGGTCAGCCACATGCAAGGCAAACACTCTACTCCTGTGCTATCTCTTCAGTGATATACTTACAAAGTACATCACTTACTTACTTCTATATACTTACAAAGTATATAATGTAAAAGTAGTAAAGTCAAAGACATAATATTTTTTATGTTTAATATACTGGTTTGCCATAAAATACCTCCACTGAAATTTTTAATATTCTAAGTACAATGTCTAAAACAAAAAGTTTTCGAGTTTAGTCATATAAAGCAAATCATCAATATCCAGTTGATTAAAAATAAGATTACTTGTTTTTTTAAACTCAAAAGCAGGTCTTGAATCTAATACTGTTTTATTTATTAATGGAAATAACATAGCCAGAAAGGTGATACAGTGGGTTTTGCTCTTGTCTTGCATGTAGCCTACCCAGGTTTAATCCCCAGCATTCCATAGGGTACACTGAGAATTGCCAGTTATTCCTCAGGACAGAGTTAGAAGTAAGTTCTGACCATTTCAAGGTCTAGGCCTTGAACACACAAAGGGAAGAAAAGCAAATAAAGAAGTATAATAAAAAAATATTTGTATGATGCATATAGTACAAAAAAGTGAAAATAATTTGAATTTTAAAACATTTTCAAAACTTGCATCAGGCATAAAAGACACCTGAAGCCAATTGATAACACTCTCTATATTTAAATTAACAATAATACAAAAATATGAATGAAATGGTAAGAGGCCTTCTTATGCTAAAGTTAATGATAAAGTGTCAGGTTGTTAATGACAAAGTGAATTAGAAAGAAAGATAAACAAGGCATTTATACAAACGATAGAATTACAGATTTCTTGTGCTTCTCACAGATGGCTTTAATTTTTAAGATACCTTTATGTAAATGGTGAGTCAGATGACATAGAGTAAAAAAGCTAGTTTGAAGTATATGAATATGTATGCAATTACCCATACTGAAATAAGTAGGACCAATCACAATTTTATAATTTGAAGTATCCTTCCAGGAAATACTTGTATTCTGATGATGGTGATTTGTTTCTTAAAGGAAAATTAAAATTGATCCCATGATTGTGCTAGACATTTATGTGTTACAAGTCTCAGTGCTTTCAAGATATCCCTTGAATATACTGGTGCCTTAACGCTTTTGTTCCTTTTCTAATAATTGTTATTTAGGCAAAAATAAACAATACATTATATATGCAATACGT